ATATATATATATATATATATATATGTAGCTACTACTACAACTACTTTTGCTGCTCATGCTGTTGCTTCTGCTGCTGCTGCTGCTTCTGCTGCTGCTTCTGCTGCTGCTGCTGCTGCTGCTGTTTGTTTGTTTGTTTGTTTGTTTGTTGATTAATAGGTGTTGGTGATGTCCTTCGGGTTTGGGATGGTGCTGCTGCCCGCAGTATTATGCATAGTCGGGCCGCTGCCGCCTAACCCGCCGGTTGTTTCTTATATTGATGCTGACGATTTAAAAAGAAAAAATAAAGAAGAAACAAGTGCTCCTGCTGCTGCTCTCTCTATTCAAGCAGCACCAGATCATACAGCAGCAGCAGCAGCTGCTGCTGCAGCAGCTGCTGCTGCTGGTGGTGGTGATAGTAGTGGTGCTGCTGCTCTTCCTCTTCGTGCTGGAGATACTGCTGCTGCTGCTGCTGCTGCTGCTTTCTCTGAAGACACAGGGCTGAAGAAGATTGATTGAATAAAATAAACAATAAAAATAATTTACACAAAAATATACACCGCAAAATAAAATATCAAAAGAAAATCGCACAACAATCGGCAAAACGAAGAAAAAGAAAATCTTCTAACTAATAAAACAAACAAACAAACAAACAAAATAAATAAATAAATAAATAAAGTTAATAAACAAAATAAATAAATTAAATAAATTAATTAAAAGGCGAAACATAAAATATCTGTTTGCAGTGCAGACAAATTTGCTGCACATCTTCACCTGAAGAAACCCTCACTACAATAAAAACTCTAAACAAAATATAAAAATAAAAATAACAAATAAACAGAAGTAAAATAATAAATACCGGATAATAATAATAAACAAAATATTAACACAAACAAACAAAGTAAAATACAAACAATCAAACAAAACGAAGGCTGCAAAATTATATTATTATAATAATTAAATAAAAATATATACGTACAGCGCATTTATCAAAATAAATAAATATGTAATAATAAAATATATTTAATTTGTACAGAGCGTCAGCTGCTGTACAAACAATAAAAAAATATAATATTAAAATAATTATAAATCATTGTATATACAATATTAATAAATAATTGTATATATAGTAATGATAATAAACATTTATATATATAATAAAATAATTATATATATAATAAAGTATTTATATATATATAATAATATATAAGAGCGTTCTTATACTAAAGAGCGATGCATTTGTATTATGAAGGTTTTATGCTTCAGTAATATATATTTCTTATAAATGTTTTATTAGATAAATATTAATAAAACATTTATTATGCAGTTATGATGCTAACTCTCGTACAGGAGAGACATAATAATATATATAATATATATGTATATATATGTATATATGCATATAGTATGTATAGATATTAAATATAAATATATATATATATATATATGTATATATAAATATATATATATTATATAATATATATTATATATATTGTATAACTACATTCACTATATACACCTTTAATGACGCATGAAGTATTTCTTCATGCCGCTCTCAACTTTTATTATTATAACTCTTCATAGAAAACTTTTATTAAACGACAAAGTCGTTTACCTATATAAACAT